TGGAGTCAGTAAATTCAACTAACAGATAAAGGTAGTTCATGGCAGGTTGGTGAGGTAAGCTGGCGCTTTGTTCCCTGTTGGTCCTGCAAGCATTATTCAACACGAACCGTTTCTTATGCCGAATTAAGAATTGATCCTCGATCCTGTAGCGACGTTTATAAATAGGCAATTAAAACAGATATCTACGTGCGGTAATTACATATCAATATCTAATTTAACTCCAAGGAAGTGAATGATAGAATTAACTTTGCACGAGAAATTCTTTGAACTCAATGCATAAAACCAAAGCTAATGCTCTGTAATTTTGGCTCTAAGCGTTGCAGTGATGGAAAGAGTGTATTAAAACGGAACAAGCGTACTTCGGAACGTCTCTGAAGCGACGCTTATCTCCATTTAAACTGATCAGGAACGAAATAAACAGCAGAAATCACTGCGTAGTCTATTGTACGCTAATTAATTGGTTCTAGTGGCGCAGGCTACAATGCACACTACACACTGGGTTAGCCAGGTGTTGGCGATCTTTTTCAAAGCTACGACTGAAACCATCATGTTGCAGATGAACTATTCCAGCAATTTTTTTTTTTTTTTGTCTTTTATTGACAAAGTAATATCAATGAATGTAGCAGCCTTCTTTCAAAATAATATGCCACTTTATGCTGTATTTTCAACATTTTATGAATACATTTACATGAAAGTATTTTCATATATTTTATTAACTTTTCATGGAGCATTACATGTGCATTATATATCACAGGGTGCTTTAACTTTATAAAGACATCATCTTATGGTATGGGCACTATAATTAACTAGTAATAGCGTGCCTTGGTAATTTGTGTGATCCAAACTGCCGTTTAGACAGAATAATAATTTTAAAATCACGCATTCTCTGCAGAAAGCACACCAGATTGACACGCAATGCAGACATTAGTCACGTCTTTCTGCCACACTTCCAATAAATACGTATTACTGTTATCTGCAGCTGCGTCAAAATCGATGAAACTTGAATTGCCGAAAGAAAGACGCCAGCACTTTAAATGAGGTTTGGTTACTTGTGTTACATATAATTGGTCAGCACTGCGGGGTACAGGCTATAGAGGTAAGGGTGAACTGACGTGTATCTTGGGGGAGATATCGAACTTCTTGTGTCACGGTAGTCAGTACGTCTCAGTGATCTCCGAGCGATAGAACTGTCAATTAACGGAGAAGACATCAAATGTAAACGTGCAACAGACGTTATCATCGTGAGTCCGGTCACTAATGCCTGACGACGTTATAAATTTTTGTTTTTTAGTAGCCAGAAAGATGTGTTCCTTTTGGCATTGCCTCTGCTCTTACATATGATTTGACCATAAGAGGGATAGCATCATAGTCAAGCTGACTGCTCTAAACGTAACCCACTAATTGTCGCACATGTAGATTTATCATTAGTACAATATCGACATAGAACTGTGACATCGGTTAATACAAGGCGATGGCTCGTGCTGGTGGGCAACGGTTTTGACAACACATATTACCAAGTGCCAAGGCTTACCTTGAGGTTATGTAATAGAAGTTGAAACTGGGTACTCTTGTAGCAACGTGCATAATTGCTAAAGGCGTTACACCACTTTTGCTAGGGGAGTATATATGAAGGCATTGATATTACCTGTTTGATTGAAGACAGTGTATAAATACGGCAGTTAGTAAGGCCCATTTGGTGAGATTTCTCAGATAATTGTTTGGTTTGTTGTTATTAAGGTAGTAACAATTTGAAAAACAATTTGAAATCCCGTAACTTGCTCAGGCGATCAAATCGTCCAAATCTCCAAATGGAGGAATGGGAAAGTTGGCAGTAATTGAGCCACCAAGACGGCAGTCTTGGAGGTGAAACCGTACAGTTTGTCTATTGATTTTCTCGTGGCAATTTCGTTAGATGTATTACTCGGAGATAAAGTGAAGGAGAATTGAGTTAAATGTATTCATTTATGTAAAGTGCCAGACATGACAGCGTGGTTCTGTTGAACACTTAATTTGTATGCACTCCTTTAGTGAGCCCAGGTGGTCCTCAAACCCCTCATTCATCCTCTGCCAGATTACTGTCATCTTTACAATCGATATCCAGAATATTGATTCTCAGAAAATAGTAGACAAAAGTCACATATTGCTGAGCATTTACAAACAAGTAGAACGAACAATAAGTGTATTCAAAGTAACAAGTCTCAATAAAATTGTGACTATGATTATGACTTTTGATAACCATAGAACCACCAAAAAGGTAGAACAAAGTGGCATCATCTTAACTCTTCTCGTGCAAAGCTGATCGCCATATTTACCGGGCTACAGTATTAATCGATGACTTTGAAAACACGATAGACTCGTTACAAGAAACGGAACAATATGAAATAAGATAAGATAAAGGCTTCGATCAAAATAGCACAGATGGAAGTTAATGAAACGTTTATGTTTCCACTTGGGGGTATTTACATAACTTATTTAAAAAAAAGAAATATACGGCCAAACCAACTCGGCACTAGTCTAAACACCGCATGTCTGTAATGCCCCTATTTCACACAGACCACGCATCCCACGAATCGCCAGGAATTGACAAATTTCAGGATTCGTGAGATTTTGCAAATTTTCTGGCCTAATTCGACACGCTTTACGATTCAGTTACGATACAGGTGCGATTGTGTTACGAATATTCGTGGTATTCGGCTGGAATCGCACAAATATTGTCAAGAATTCACTACCATTTTTTTTAATCGGAAGAGCAGCTCAAAATTTTTACCACGAATTCCCGAGAAGAATTGCAAGAACTGACTACGATTATTCACGAATCCGTTAAGAACTTCACGAACTGATTACGATTCAACCACGAATCCTGAAATTGTCAGTTCTTGGCGATTCGTTGGATTCGTGGTCTGTGTGAAACAGGGGCATCAAAGTTTTTGTCATGAATTCCTGTTGGTCAAGAATTGCATGAACTGACTACGAATATATGTGAATCTGTTAAGAACCTCACGAACTGATTACGATTCAACCACGAATCCTGAAATTTGTCAATTACTGGCGATTCGTGGGATTCGTGGTCTGTGTAAAATAGGGGTATTACCTGTCACTTTACAAACAGCTGATTGGTGACGATTACTCTAGTTGGAAACCCCGATTTCCATCCCTCCTCGATCACGGCTATAGGAGACCATAAGCGTCGTTGCACGTTGGGAGTGTGTAATGTGTACACCAAAGACTACATAGACTGCATGGACAGCTCGCCAAACATCTCATCCAAGATTCGTTTATTATGCAAGCCCCAGCGTTTTCTACTGTTGTCCATGTGACTGCATATGCAACATTGTTAAGCAAATATCAGGGACTTCTGTTAACTGCTGGTTGACCCAAAGCCGAAACCATAGGCAGTGCACAGCTAATTGATTATTTATTTCAAAGAGTATTCATTTAACGAAAGGGATTATTCCCCTGCCTTTCGTAAATGTTTTGACTATGCAGTTTACGGCACAGTGGTGACTAGCAGACAGCGATAGACTGGTCTTTGGTCGCATTCAGAACTAATACATCCGCGGACTCACAGAGCAGCGGACCAAATATGGCCGACCCACTTGAAAGCATAATCTTCTAATATCTACTGAATAGATACTGGATGACGCGGCAAGCTTTCAAGTGGGTCGGCCATATTTGATCCGCTGATCTGTAAGTCCGTGGATCAACTTTTTGTTTGAATGCGGCCTTTGTTAGATAATGTGTATTGTATGCTAATCGCATCGGATTTTACCTCAGGGGAATATTGAACATTAGGCAGACAAGTTTACAAATAATATTGAAAACAACATGGTGTAGGGCCATTTTTGGTTGCCGAGTCCCTCTCGAATCTCATAAAGTATACATGCACAGCTGATTTATTATTTTTATAGCTTCATCTACAAGCTGATGACAGAACAGAATGCTATCATTCTGGTGTGCTGTTGTTGATAGGTTTCTTATAAATCAGGCTTTTAGCGTTAAATTTCAATAGATTTTAAGGAAACTCCCATGATACGGTCGTGAAATCACCATTTATACGTATCAAAGCTAGGAGTATCTGCACCTACGATTGTTTGTTTGCACTGATATTGGTCATTGTCTTAAAATTGTTTTCTCTCCACAGACGCTCTGCTATGGAGTATCAGGATATACGCCAGGAAATGAACGGTTGATTTATGGCTCCGGGAGAAAATTGCCAGTACACACATACATGTATAGCTATATGGTCAGAAAAAATATGCCAGTACCTATGGCTTTGGTCAGAAGAACTACAAGTACACATGGTTCTGTTCAGAAAATTGTTAAAGCGTAGTAACAATAACGCACTTGAATACAGTCTCCGTTATCTAGAAAAAATATCAAGCGGCTTTACCGAAATCAACGGCACCAATGGGTGATCTAAGGCAGTGATAGAAACAAGACATAGGATATTGTCACGGTATCCCAGACTTCACGTAACAATGCGCATCTTCTGCAATATCAGGATTTAATCAATCGCGGAATTTTCCGGAAAAGTAAAACTTCTCAAAGTTCTATTTATTGTACTCCTCAGGGACAGGATACAATATCAGCCTTCTCAATGGAGATGATATAGAGTGCATGTTTTACGCGATGGCTGTAGAAGTGGGCCGTAGCTTTACTTCACATATTCTGCTGAGTTTTACAGAATAGGTTTAGCAGCCATTGATTGATTCACTACGAGAGTGATAATATCTCTACGCATCAATGAAAGCCCTGTTCTCGGGATTAATCAGACTGCGTGAAGTGGGCAGGTGGCGGGGCGTGATTAGTGCGTTGCTAGCGTACCGGTCAATTTACAGTTTGCGTGCTAACCCTTCACTACTTCACCTAAGACAGACGTGCTTGCAGTAGAGGTGTGGGGCTAGTCTGATGGTCTGAGTTAACGTTGAAGTTACGGAGACCACGTGCTAGGCTTCTCTACAGGTGGGAATTTTCAGCACGCGGGGGATCGATCGTTGGCAGTCAAAAACTATCTGCGAGCCACAAGCGCCGATCTGTGATGAAGAGGACTGCGCAGTAAAGTGGATCTATCGTTCATGAGTTACTACACTAGATGATGGAGTTCTAAGAGAAAATCCGCACGGCAATAATTTTGCTCAGAAGTTCAAGTGTTTGGTTCATATACAGCAGCATTCCCAGAAAGTCTGGACGCACTGGGCTTTGTTTTTTAAATTACCACCTTACTCACTTATAAGGGAATGCATTTAAACTTTTGGTGAGCAAGATTTCTCTCCACCCCACTTCCCAGACGGCGGGAGAACACTGCACACACTGAAGAAATAGACATAGAACGAAAAGATTGGTTTAGATACACGCGGCCAGAAAGCTGTGAACTACCACGATGTTACTGTTTACTGTAACGGTTTTACTCTTCACCGTCCCGAGGGAGTCCGTGGGTGACGCTCATGCCCCGTGTTACAAGTGTGATCTGGTAAAGATGGAACAACGACACGAGGCGAAACTCCGGTCAAGCAGGTCAAAGGTAGGTGCATTGTTTGGAACATTCTGTGTACAGTGAAAGTAAGACCCTATTCCCAGATATTAGATAGATCCAACTAGATCGACCTAACACCCTGGGGGTTCACACTAAATAGCTGTCAGCCGAGCGGGCACGAAAGTTAATTACCCCCTTACAGCTTGTAGTAGGCGGGACGGACATTTAAGCCGGATTATCTGACAGTAATCTAGTGAGACTCCCCACGGGGATAGATCGATCTAAAATCTATGAGAATGCGCCCTAAGGGTGCTAGAGGGTGCACTCAGAACAAGCCAATCCGCGAACTTACAGATCTGCAGATCAAATATGGCCGACCCACTTGAAAACTTGCCGCATAATCCCCTAATAGACACTGAATAGATTCCCAGCGGAGATAACGCAGACTAACAGAACGGACCAAGTATATACTAGGTGACCCCAGGAGACTCCCTGTCGTGACCCCACCAAGTATATAATGCACGGGGAGACAGGAGACATCTATATTCATCTACACAACATGTCAGTCCACTCCCAGCTGATATCACTCAGAATACCTTTCCATTAATCCGACAAATACAAAAATATGCGTCAGTTTGCGGTCCTCAAAGTCGAAACGTGCATTTAGATAATTTACAACAATACATAGCTTGGTTTTCATTCAAGGTGTTCACCACTAAAAAGCTAGGCCGTAGTATTCTCTGGCGTTATAGGGCCTGTGTTCTCTGACTCTACATCACTGGGGGTCGGCCACCAATAAAAAAACTAGGCCGTATACGTAGTATTCTCTGGCGTTATAGGGGCTGTGTTCTATCTCTTTACATCACTGGGGGTCGGCCATCAATAAAAAACTGGGCCGTACACGTACAGTTTGTAGTAATCAGTGGCGTTATAGGGGCTGTGTTCTATCACTCTACATCACTGGGGGTCGGCCACCAATAAAAAACTCTAGGCCGTATACGTAGTATTCTCTGGCGTTATAGGGGCTGTGTTCTATGACTCTACATCACTGGGGGTCGGCCACCAATAAAAAACTAGGCTGTATACGTAGTATTCTCTGGCGTTATAGGGGTTGTGTTCTAGCTATGACTGTACATCACTGGGGGTTGGCCATCAATCACTATTGCTGAGGTCGGCAGACACTCTCATGTCGTGTGTTCGTCACACTTCCTAAGGAGAAATCACAGCGAGGAGATCCAGGGAATAAACCGGGAAACGATGAGAGGGACATATGTCTATACGAAAGATTGCTAGGCGCATCTTGTTTCTTACTGGAAAGTTTGAAAAACCCAAATAAATATGATTTTCTTCACTTGGTCCCATTAAACAATGTGACTGTCCTTAAACGATAACCCTGAATGACAATTATTTCGTAGTGGTATTTCGCCGTACTATGTCTGCTCGATTCGCATGCATTTCAATCTATGCCATTTCCCACACCTAGAACAGGTACAGTGTATGTCATTGATTCGTGTGAGGAACGCCAACTTGGAGTAAGAATGATTGACGACCATGATCACCCTATGCGTAAACACCTGTTACCAATACACCTGTACTCACAAACCTATACACACACACACACACACACACACACTCTTTTTTAACGTAGCACCGGAAGAATAGGGAAATTTTTTTGAAAATTAAACGATTCATGGCTAAATAAAGATTAGAGTTACCCTCAGTTAGTTTCTTTAAGCGAGACAGATTTCACACTTATTAACCAAGGCATGCCCCTGCACACGCTCATCAGTGCACACATGTGGCCCGTGTAACTTAAGACGCACTGTGCACGTGTAGAACGTGTTTTTATATACACATGTCCGACCAAGGAAGGGTAAAAATTATTTTCTTCTCAGCGCTCTGGATTAAATAATACAAAGTTCAAATACACAAATACATAGTAAGTACTGAGAGGACAGAGAATGCCTCCAACCACCCCCTCCCTGTATTATAAATAATGAACACCAAACGCGGGAAGTTTTGTGAAAAACGACATGTGCCCTCTGTTTATTCGTCTTAGTTATTGGAATATGACTACAAAGTTTAAATAGCGCCCCCAGTATATTTACCTTGACTGCCCAAAACACTAACGTTAAATAAAGGAATGAATGATGAAACATTGAGGGAAAATAATGCAAGAACTGAACTTCCTTTACATAAGTTTACAGAAAACAGTCATGGTCTAAAACAAACAAACAAAAACATTTTTGTCAGTCCTATTTTCTCATATCGTTCTTAGACCGTGATAATACCGCAAGTGGAATATACGTTGTGTAGGCTCTCTAAGCCTCCTGAGTACCTGGGTCTCTGAAGTCGATTATCGAAAGTAGGCTGGAGAACATGTCTATGGTTTATCTTGTGCTCTATTCCCAACTCTTTATCATATCCCCACTAAATCATTTGTGTAGGTTCCTATAATTGGAAACTGGGGAGAAGTGAGCATACCACTGGGGTTAATTGCAACAAAAGCTTTAAACCTCATAGTTATTGAGATGCACTTAGCCACTTGTAACTGAAAACGCAATAAAGTTCTCTTCTGCACAAATTGATAATTTGATGGATCCCATTTTGCGGATATTTTAAGCGCTTGTGTTTGTGATCGTGTGTGAGGGAAGCATGTTGTCTTGGTTAACGAAAGCCGTTTTGTACGAGAACTTTTCTCGGCTGCGCTTAGCTCCCTGGCAGCTTCAGACGACAGCAGGTCGGAGTGCCTGGGATAGCGGGCGTCTCTGTGGACAATGGCAACTGATTGTGAGAACAATGTTTCATTGGGTAAATTCATCTTTATATTGCATTATACACCCCCCTTCTCTCTCATAAATATTTTGGAGTAGCTTTAGTCGAAATTAATGCCAAGTTTGTTTAGCAACAGAGGAGAGATGTAGTATTTACATGCGAGTTAAACACGTAATGGTTAAAAAAAATCCCCAAAGAATATTTAGGAAAATTGATTTCTCTGACAACCGTACGTCTTATATAATTCTTGTCTTAAGGGTTGCGAGGTGTTCTGAGGAAGAAAGCCAGTAGAGTCTCCAGTGAATGGTGACCATGTGCAGGGAACGGAGGGTAATTACTCACGCCACGGCTCATTACACAGTTTATTGTTTCCATTCAAGTCACCCTGAAGAACACAGCGTGAAAAGTGTTTTGTTTATAATCCAGCTTGTATTATACATATAGAGGCCGTGGGTCAGGGTCGTGTAAATCATGTTGAATTGAAGATGCTATTTGCCGTGGAACCAATATTACAATTCAGAACCCTAAACCCCTTAATACGAGCAGATCTTTATTTTCACCACGGTTTTGGATAGGGTGTGACTTGGTGATTATTGGGAATTTTAAGTTCATAGGGTTTTGTTATTTACTGGTATAACGCACGTCGTTTGTCTTTAATTGCTTTCCACAAGACTGTGGAGTGCATTTATTACAACGTGTCTGTGTCAAGCGTAACAATTAACCTTCTCATAGCCCGGAAGATGCCCAAGAACATCCCCATTCACTCTTTTCTAATTGTAGAAGTTTCAGCAGTACTAAATTCCGTGACACAAGGCATCATGACCCCAAAGTTCCAGATTTACCAGCTAGTTCCCCTATCAAATAAACGAGCAATTTGCTGCCGATAGATCTACATCTAAACCTGCATGGCGGCCCTGAGCGGACCAGAACACCTGGCAGCTAGTTTCCCCATCAAATAAACGAGCAATTTGCTGCCGATAGATCTACATCTAAACCTGCATGGCGGCCCTGAGCGGACCAGAACACCTGGCAGCTAGTTCCCCCATCAAATAAACGAACAATTTGCTGCCGATAGATCCACATCTTACCTGCATGGCGGCCCTGAGCGGACCAGAACACCTGGTAATCAGTAGATGTGTGTTGTCGTGTTTTCTCTGCATGTTAAAGTTCAAGGCAGAGTGCAGAGAAGACACTTGTCTTACACGGTTAGAATGCCAAGATAGCCCAGGGCGTTGGTATAATAAACCTCCAAGTATGCTAAAAATATTTCAAATGAGGGGACATCAGATCCAATTAGAATATGCCGTGAAGGCATAAGAAGCTGATTCAAGCTGATTCAAAAACAACAATCAATGAACATGTGCTGGTTTGAAGGGCATGCAAGCGTCACTTTTGGCGTCAACTTTCGCGTATCCGACAAGCAGAGTTCGTGAACTATTAAAGTTAATAAGCAGTATAGTCGTGCAGTAATCTGAAAATGGGTTGTAGTCTGCAGTGAACTGCCCCTAAGGGATCGTGCGCGTGTATTAAGAGATACCGAGTACATAAAACATAATGGTAACCATTAACTTTTTCTAGTGGTTTTATAATGGGTACAGAGCCACTCAGAATGATTGCATTTTAAGTTTTTTTTATGCAGAAGAATATACTTATGCATAGTTTTATAAAATACTGTTGGGATGGTTTGATGCCACCTGTAAACTTGAGTTGACAGTGTGCGCTTCCTAATAGATCTTGTAACTTATTGCTAAATGTGAAACTAGCCGTATGAGATGTGGGTGGGAGGGGAAGTGGTGGCAAATTGAATATATATATATATATGTGTGTGTGTTTTCTATAGGGAGGTACATGTCTGTAGTACACAGAATATTCTGAGCATCAACACAGAGATCGAGGCGCCCAGAATAATCTAATTCTAATGTATTATGTCCAAAATCCTTGGTTTACTGAATTATTTTTGACCTATAAAATAATTTTAGAAGACACCGTTATGAACGTTCCCGGAATGATTTCATCTCTAGCTTCCATTTTTCTGCAGTTAAAGTGAATTCAAGGCCCCGGTGCGGTTTACCCGTTCTATGCAATTGCACGTACTATTTGTTACGTGCGTGTCATGGGTAAAACGTGTTGTATTATATGACATCGTTCTACGTTTACACATGCTCTACAAGTATATGATGATGGCAGTGGATGGATAGGTGCAGTCCATTCTGGAATTGTTAGCTTGGAAAAAATGACGATGGCTTGAGCAATTCAGGGGCGCTCTATTTACC